CCCATCGCTGAGAGCTGCAACGAGCTGTGCGCCCGCCAGTGCCCCGACTCCTCTGCCTTCATCCAGCCCCCGCCCGTGGTGGTCACCTTCCCCGGCCCCATCCTCAGCTCCTTCCCCCAGCAGGCCGTGGTGGGCTCCTCTGGAGCACCGGCCTTTGGCGGCTCCCTGGGGCTGGGCGGCCTCTACGGCGCCGGCGCCACCCAGGCCTCGGGGGGCCTCTGCACCTTTGGCAGAGCCTACGCTGCTCCCGCCTGCAGCCCTTGCGCCCTGCCCCGCTACAGCAAGAAGCTCTGGGACACCTGCGGGCCCTGCTAGAGCCACCAGCAACAGCCCCCAAGGCCCTGCTGCCGCCTCAGCCCAGCATGGACACCTTGAGCTCTGCACAAGCTGCCCTGGCCTCCTGCAGCCCGTGACACCCGGTCTGCCTCCGGCCTGCCCACCCTCCCTCTCCCTGCCTCTCCTGCCCTCCTTGCTACAATAAAGTTTTCCTGCATCCAATCCCTGTCTCTTTGCCTCCTTTGCTGGAGTCATGAATACCCCTTGGGATGAGGGAGTTCCAAGAGTGTGAGGGGAATTGGTGATGCTGGGATAGCCAAGGGAAATGGAGTATGGAAGAGGAAGACCAAGGCTATACAGAGGCGGGGTTGTTACACTGGTGGTTAAAGTGGAAAGGAAAATGAAATCACTGTGCAAGTGGACGGATACAAAGGATAGCTGTGGGAACTGGTGGAGTTAGGACACCAAGGAGGTGGAAGAGAAGGAGAAGGAGGAGAAGGAGAAGGAGAAGGAGAAGGAGAAGGAGAAGGAGAAGGAGAAGGAGAAGGAGAAGGAGAAGGAGAAGGAGAAGGAGAAGGAGAAGGGCGTGAGACACAAGGTGACAAAGAAATTTCAAAAAAGGGAAAGAAAAAGAGTAAGAGAATGAGAAAGAGGAAGAAGGAGCTGATGGCAAGGAAATCGAACATATTTGTCTTAGTAATAGCCAAGTTTCTCTCTGATTTCAGTTCCTGGTACTTTAGCTGAAGGCAAGGTTGATAGAGAGGTGCTGGAGCTCTGACAGCCTTTGCTCTGGGGACAGTCCTACTCATTGCCAGCATGGCAGCAGACCTGTAAAGGCCTCTGGTGTCATGACCTGTGTCCGTCTTCAGGCAGACTCCTTGCAGCTCCTTATTCCTATCCTTGTCCTTGTCGATATCCTTCTCCTTCTCATTGTCCTTATCCTTCTCCTTCTCGTTGTCCTTCTCCTTGTCCTTCCCGTTCTCCTTCTCCCTCATCTCGGACACATTCCCACTTCTCTCCTTCATATCCATCTACTTCCCCTTTGATTTCATTCTCTTCTCCACTTTCACCTCCAGTGTTACATTCACAATTCTATTGTACTGTTGCTGTTAACTTCCAATTGCAGTTTACCCAGGAAGACCGATTCCCTTCCACTCCCAAATTTCCCCAGTCCCCGGGGTCTTCGTGATTCCAGCAAAGGAGGCAAAGAAACAGGGATTGGATGCAGGAAAACTTTATTGTAGCAAGAAGGGCAGGAGAGGCAGGGAGAGGAAGGGTGGGCAGGCCGGAGGCAGGCCGGGTGTCACGGGCTGCAGGAGGCCAGGGCAGCTTGTGCAGAGCTCAAGTTGTCCATGCTGGGCTGAGGCGGCAGCAGGGCCTTGGGGGCTGTTGCTGGTGGCTCTAGCAGGGCCCGCAGGTGTCCCAGAGCTTCTTGCTGTAGCGGGGCAGGGCGCAAGGGCTGCAGGCGGGAGCAGCGTAGGCTCTGCCAAAGGTGCAGAGGCCCCCCGAGGCCTGGGTGGCGCCGGCGCCGTAGAGGCCGCCCAGCCCCAGGGAGCCGCCAAAGGCCGGTGCTCCGGAGGAGCCCACCACGGCCTGCTGGGGGAAGGAGCTGAGGATGGGGCCGGGGAAGGTGACCACCACGGGCGGGGGCTGGATGAAGGCAGAGGAGTCGGGGCACTGGCGGGCGCACAGCTCGTTGCAGCTCTCAGCGATGGGCTGGGGCACAGCCACGCTGGTCCTGGGCGGGCACAGCTCCGTGCTGCTCCTGGGTGGGCACAGGTCGTAGCAGGACATCTTGCAGTGGGATGCGAGGGTGCTCTGCAAGAGAGGGCAGCCATGGCAGGAGAGCAGCCCAGGGCAGCGCCCAAGGGGCCACAGGGGCCGGGGCTGGAGCAGGGAGCCGCCAGCAGAAGCGCTGGCACACTTACCCTTGTTCCCAAGCAGGAGAAGGTGGCCAGGGCACTGCTTGCTCCAGTCTGGCCCAGGCAGGGCTTTTATAGCAGCCCCGGCATTGCTCAGCTCCAGCCTGGCCAATCTGCACAGGGGACACTCCCTCATGCTGCTGCTGCTGCTGCTGCTGCTGCTGACACCAGGGCTGTGCGGCCCCTGCCCCTTCCTGAGTCAGCATCCCCCAGGTGCCAGCCCAGCACATCCCGCTGCCCCAGCCATCTTGTCCTTCCTGCCACGTCAGATCCTTGATAGCAGGGATGGCACCCAGGAGTACATTAGAGGAATACCTGACAGGGGTTGGAGCATGAGGTGCAGGAGTGGCAGGAACCTTCACCATGGAGGGCATCTGTGCATCACAGCACAGCCCAGCAGAACCAGACCCCATCTGCGTGGAGTCAGTGCCCAGGGGCTTCCAGGACACTGGGAACAAAGACTGCTCCTGTCAGGCTTGATCTTCATAGGCCAAAGAGCAGAGATGTCCATCTGGCCCAGGCTGATTCCAACGCTGCCCCACCCATTTGGACCATCAAAGTTCTTCCTGCAGCCCATTGCTGGGTGCCATCCCTGCTATCAAGGATCTGACGTGGCAGGAAGGACAAGATGGCTGGGGCAGCGGGATGTGCTGGGCTGGCACCTGGGGGATGCTGACTCAGGGAGGGGCAGGGGCCGCACAGCCCTGGTGTCAGCAGCAGCAGCAGCATGAGGGAGTGTCCCCTGTGCAGATTGGCCAGGCTGGAGCTGAGCAATGCCAGGGCTGCTATAAAAGCCCTGCCTGGGCCAGACTGCACCAAGCAGTGCCCTGGCCACCTTCTCCTCTCCAGGAACAAGGGTAAGTGTGCCAGCGCTTCTGCTGGCGGCTCCCTGCTCCAGCCCCGGCCCCTTGGGTGCTGCCCTGGGCTGCTCTCCTGCCATGGCTGCCCTCTCTTGCAGAGCACCCTCGCATCCCACTGCAAGATGTCCTGCTACGACCTGTGCCCACCCAGGACCAGCGTGGCTGTGCCCCAGCCCATCGCTGAGAGCTGCAACGAGCTGTGCGCCCGCCAGTGCCCCGACTCCTCTGCCTTCATCCAGCCCCCGCCCGTGGTGGTCACCTTCCCCGGCCCCATCCTCAGCTCCTTCCCCCCAGCAGGCCGTGGTGGGCTCCTCCGGAGCACCGGCCTTTGGCGGCTCCCTGGGGCTGGGTGGCCTCTACGGCGCCGGCGCCACCCAGGCCTCCAGGGGCCTCTGCACCTTTGGCAGAGCCTACGCTGCTCCCGCCTGCAGCCCTTGCGCCCTGCCCCGCTACAGCAAGAAGCTCTGGGACACCTGCGGGCCCTGCTAGAGCCACCAGCAACAGCCCCCAAGGCCCTGACGCCGCCTCGGCCCAGCATGGACAACTTGAGCTCTGCACAAGCTGCCCTGGCCTCCTGCAGCCCGTGACACCCGGCCTGCCTCCGGCCTGCCCACCCTCTCTCTCCCTGCCTCTCCTGCCCTTCTTGCTACAATAAAGTTTTCCTGCATCCAATCTCTGTTTCTTTGCCTCTTTTTCTGGAATCATGATGACACTTGGGAATGGGGAATTCTGGGAGTGGGAGGGGAAATGGTGATCCTGGGCAAACTGAAAATGGAACGGGACAGCAACTGTAAAAGAGAAGAGGGAATATTTTATTGGCAGTTAAAGTTGAAAAGGAAATGGCTTCAAAGTAGAAGTGGATCGATATGAAGGAGACTAGTGGGAATGTGTCAAATAAGTTGAAGGAGAAGGAGAAGGAGAAGGAGAAGGAGAAGGAGAAGGAGAAGGAGAAGGAGAAGGAGAAGGAGAAGGAGAATTAGAAGGAGAAGGAGAAGGAGAAGGGGAACGACAAGGACAAGGCCAAGGATAAAGACAAGGCCAAGGACAAGGACAAGGATCTCTGAGCACTCTGCCTCAAAACATACAAACACGCTCTTGCAGGCCATGACACCAGGGGCCTTTACAGACCTGCTGCCATGCTGGCAAAGAGTAGGACTGTTCCCAGAGCTAGGAGTCATCCAGGGGAAGAGGCTGTCAGAGCTCCAGCGCCTCTGGATCAATCTTGGCTTTGTTAAACGAGCATGGCCTGAAATCAAAAAGAAACTTGCCCATCACTACACTCTATACATGAAATTTCCCCATCATCAGTTTCTTCTTTCTTTCTCTTTCTTTCTCTTTTTAGTTCTTTCTCTATCTTTCTCTTTTTATTTCTTTCTCGTTCTTTCTCTTTCTTTCTCTTTCTTCTCTTTCTTTCTCTCTCTCTTTCTCTCTTTCTCTACTTCTTGCTCTTCTTCTTTTTTAATATTTCTTTGTCACATTCTGTCTCATTTTCTCCATCTCCTTCTCCTTCTTATTTTCATCCTCTCTCTAGGCCAAACCCATCCAACAGTACCTTATCTTCTGATTCGCAGCCCCGTTTGATTTCATTTTCCTCTCTAGATCACAATCTGTCCTCTTCCAATTGGTCTTTTCCATCCCCTTCCCCTTCCATTTTCCATAGCCCCGATTATTCCCCAACACCATTTCCCCTCACCGTCTTGGAATTCCCGCTTCCCCAGGGATATCCATGACTCCAGAAAAGGAGGCAAAGAGACAGGGATTGGATGCAGGAAAACTTTATTGTAGCAAGAAGGGCAAGAGAGGCAGGGAGAGGGAGGGTGGGCAGGCCGGAGGCAGGCCGGGTGTCACGGGCTGCAGGAAGCCAGGGCAGCTTGTGCAGAGCTCAAGGTGTCCATGCTGGGCCGAGGCGGCGTCAGGGCCTTGGGGGCTGTTGCTGGTGGCTCTAGCAGGGCCCGCAGGTGTCCCAGAGCTTCTTGCTGTAGCGGGGCAGGGCACAAGGGCTGCAGGCGGGAGCAGCGTAGGCTCTGCCAAAGGTGCAGAGGCCCCCCGAGGCCTGGGTGGCGCCGGCGCCGTAGAGGCCGCCCAGCCCCAGGGAGCCGCCAAAGGCCGGTGCTCCGGAGGAGCCCACCACGGCCTGCTGGGGGAAGGAGCTGAGGATGGGGCCGGGGAAGGTGACCACCACGGGCGGGGGCTGGATCAAGGCAGAGGAGTCGGGGCACTGGCGGGCGCACAGCTCGTTGCAGCTCTCAGCGATGGGCTGGGGCACAGCCACGCTGGCCCTGGGTGGACACACCTCCGTGCTGCTCCTGGGCGGGCACAGGTCGTAGCAGGACATCTTGCAGTGGGATGCGAGGGTGCTCTGCAAGAGAGGGCAGCCATGGCAGGAGAGCAGCCCAGGGCAGCGCCCAAGGGGCCACAGGGGCTGGAGCAGGGAGCCGCCAGCAGAAGCGCTGGCACACTTACCCTTGTTCCTGGAGAGGAGAAGGTGGCCAGGGCACTGCTTGGTGCAGTCTGGCCCAGGCAGGGCTTTTATAGCAGCCCTGGCATTGCTCAGCTCCAGCCTGGCCAATCTGCACAGGGGACACTCCCTGCTGCTGCTGCTGCTGCTGCTGCTGCTGCTGACACCAAGGCTGTGCGGCCCCTGCCCCTCCCTGAGTCAGCATCCCCCAGGTGCCAGCCCAGCACATCCCGCTGCCCCAGCCATCTTGTCCTTCCTGCCACGTCAGATCCTTGATAGCAGGGATGGCACCCAGCAATGGGCTGCAGGAACACCTGTAATGGTCCAAATGGGTGGGGCAGGGCTGGAATCAGCCTGGGCCAGATGGACATCTCTCATCCTCACACTATGAAGATCAGGTAATGTTTTTGTTCCCAGCCTCGTGGAAGCCCTTGGACACTGCAGGTCGGCAGATGTGGTCTGGTTCACTTGGACTGCCTGGTCATGCACAAATGCCTTCCACAGTGAAGGCTCCTGCTACCGCTACCCTAGATGCTCTAGCCCTTTACAGATGTTCCTGGAGCCGATTCCTCGGTTCCATCCTGGCTCTGAAGTGTCTGAGGTGTAGGGAAGGAGAAGATGGCTGGGGCAGCGGGATGTGCTGGGCTGGCACCTGGGGGATGCTGACTCAGGGAGGGGCAGGGGCCGCACAGCCCTGGTGTCAGCAGCAGCAGCAGCAGCAGCAGCATCAGGGAGTGTCCCCTGTGCAGATTGGCCAGGCTGGAGCTGAGCAATGCCGGGGCTGCTATAAAAGCCCTGCCTGGGCCAGACTGGAGCAAGCAGTGCCCTGGCCACCTTCTCCTCTCCAGGAACAAGGGTAAGTGTGCCAGCGCTTCTGCTGGCGGCTCCCTGCTCCAGCCCCTGTGGCCCCTTGGGTGCTGCCCTGGGCTGCTCTCCTGCCATGGCTGCCCTCTCTTGCAGAGCACCCTCGCATCCCACTGCAAGATGTCCTGCTACGACCTGTGCCCACCCAGGACCAGCGTGGCTGTGCCCCAGCCCATCGCTGAGAGCTGCAACGAGCTGTGCGCCCGCCAGTGCCCCGACTCCTCTGCCTTCATCCAGCCCCCGCCCGTGGTGGTCACCTTCCCCGGCCCCATCCTCAGCTCCTTCCCCCAGCAGGCCGTGGTGGGCTCCTCCGGAGCACCGGCCTTTGGCGGCTCCCTGGGGCTGGGCGGCCTCTACGGCGCCGGCGCCACCCAGGCCTCGGGGGGCCTCTGCACCTTTGGCAGAGCCTACGCTGCTCCCGCCTGCAGCCCTTGCGCCCTGCCCCGCTACAGCAAGAAGCTCTGGGACACCTGCGGGCCCTGCTAGAGCCACCAGCAACAGCCCCCAAGGCCCTGCTGCTGCCTTGGCCCAGCATGGACACCATGTGCTCTGCACAAGCTGCCCTGGCCTCCTGCAGCCCGTGACACCCGGCCTGCCTCCGGCCTGCCCACCCGCTCTCTCCCTGCCTCTCCTGCCCGCCTTGGTACAATAAAGTTTTCCTGCATCCAATCCCTGTCTCTTTGCCTCCTTTGCTGGAGTCATGGATATCCCTGGGGAAGGGGGAATTCCAAGAGTGGGAGGGGAAATGGTGTTGGGGATGGTTGGGGCAATGGAAGACTGAAGGGGAAGGGGAAAGAGATGGAGGACAGGGACCGAGGAGAGGAATTTGGGCAAGAAATGGAATCAAAATGGAGTCCGAATCAAAAGATAGCTAATCTAGTTTGTTTAGGTGAAGGAGGAGAAGGAGGAGAAGGAGAAGGAGAAGGAGAAGTAGGATGAAGAGAAGAAGAAGAAGAAAGAGAAGGAGGATAAGAAGAGGAAAGAGGATTCAAAGAAAGACAAGATGAAGTAGAAGGAGAAGAAGAAAGAGAAGATGGGAAAGAAGGATTTGGACAAATATTAAGATGACAGACTAAGATGTAGCAGGGGGAGGAGAAGGATTAGAAGACAAGAAAATTTAATGTACAGGGAAGAGTAATGGGGAAGTCTCTCTTTGACTTCAGGCCCAGATCCTTTAGCAGAGCCATGGTGGCTCAGACGGGCTGGAGCTCTGGTAGCCTTTACCCGGGAATGGCTCCAAGCTCCATTGCCAACCCCACTCTTGGCCAACACAACTGCACATGGGTAAGAGCTCCTGGTCTCATGGCCAGCAAGTTGGGGGATCTGTCTCCCTTCAGGCAGAATGCTCAGAGTTCCTTGTGCTTGTGCTTGTGCTTGTGCTTGTGCTTTTCCTTGTCCTTGTCCTTCACTTTCTCCTTCACCTTCTCCTCCTCCTTCTCCGTCTTCTCCTTCTCCCTCTATTTCTCATCCTGTGTCTCATTCTCCTTCTCCTAGTTCTCTCTCTTCTAACATCTCTGTTTCCCAAAGTTCTCCTTCATATGCTTCCACTTCCACTCTGATTTCAATTTCATCTCCACTTCAACCTCCGATGACCATTCACATTTTCTGTATAACTTAACCATTCCTCTTAGATTTTCCATTCCCTGTGGCCATCCCAGCATCAGCAATTCCCCTCCCGCACTTGAAAAAAGTTCCATTCCAAGGAGTCTTCATGAATTGGCAAAAGGAGGCCAAGAGACAGAGATTGGATGCAGGAAAACTTTATTGTACCAAGGAGGGCAGGAGAGGCAGGGAGAGGGAGGGTGGGCAGGCCAGAGGCAGGCCGGGTGTCACGGGCTGCAGGAGGCCAGGGCAGCTTGTGCAGAGCTCAAGGTGTCCATGCTGGGCTGAGGCGGCGTCAGGGCCTTGGGGGCTGTTGCTGGTGGCTCTAGCAGGGCCCGCAGGTGTCCCAGAGCTTCTTGCTGTAGCGGGGCAGGGCGCAAGGGCTGCAGGCGGGAGCAGCGTAGGCTCTGCCAAAGGTGCAGAGGCCCCCCGAGGCCTGGGTGGCGCCGGCGCCGTAGAGGCCGCCCAGCCCCAGGGAGCCGCCAAAGGCCGGTGCTCCGGAGGAGCCCACCACGGCCTGCTGGGGGAAGGAGCTGAGGATGGGGCCGGGGAAGGTGACCACCACGGGCGGGGGCTGGATCAAGGCAGAGGAGTCGGGGCACTGGCGGGCGCACAGCTCGTTGCAGCTCTCAGCGATGGGCTGGGGCACAGCCACGCTGGTCCTGGGTGGGCACAGCTCCGTGCTGCTCCTTGGTGGGCACAGGTCGTAGCAGGACATCTTGCAGTGGGATGCGAGGGTGCTCTGCAAGAGAGGGCAGCCATGGCAGGAGAGCAGCCCAGGGCAGCGCCACAGGGGCCACAGGGGCTGGAGCAGGGAGCCGCCAGCAGAAGCGCTGGCACACTTACCCTTGTTCCTGGAGAGGAGAAGGTGGCCAGGGCACTGCTTGGTGCAGTCTGGCCCAGGCAGGGCTTTTATAGCAGCCCCGGCATTGCTCAGCTCCAGCCTGGCCAATCTGCACAGGGGACACTCCCTGATGCTGCTGCTGCTGCTGCTGCTGCTGACACCAGGGCTGTGTGGCCCCTGCCCCTCCCTGAGTCAGCATCCCCCAGGTGCCAGCCCAGCACATCCCGCTGCCCCAACCATCTTGTCCTTCCTGCCACATCAGATCCTTGATAGCAGGGATGGCACCCAGCAATGCGTTACAGGAACACCTGTCAGAGGCTGGAGCATGAGGCACAGGGAGTGGCAGGAACCTTCACCATGGAGGGCATCTGTGCATCACAGCACAGCCCAGCAGAACCAGACCCCATCTGCATGCAGTCAGTGCCCAGGGGCTTCCAGGACACTGGGAACAAAGACTGCTCCTGTCTTGATCTTCATAGGCCAAAGAGCAGAGATGTCCATCTGGCCCAGGCTGATTCCAGCCCTGCCCCACCCATTGGGACCATTACAGGTGCTCCTGCAGCCCATTGCTGGGTGCCATCCCTGCTATCAAGGATCTGACGTGGCAGGAAGGACAAGATGGCTGGGGCAGTGGGATGTGCTGGGCTGGCACCTGGGGGATGCTGACTCAGGAAGGGGCAGGGGCCACACAGCCCTGGTGTCAGCAGCAGCAGCATCAGGGAGTGTCCCCTGTGCGGATTGGCCAGGCTGGAGCTGAGCAATGCCGGGGCTGCTATAAAAGCCCTGCCTGGGCCAGACTGGAGCAAGCAGTGCCCTGGCCACCTTCTCCTCTCCAGGAATAAGGGTAAGTGTGCCAGCGCTTCTGCTGGCGGCTCCCTGCTCCAGCCCCTGTGGCCCCTGTGGCGCTGCCCTGGGCTGCTCTCCTGCCATGGCTGCCCTCTCTTGCAGAGCACCCTCGCATCCCACTGCAAGATGTCCTGCTACGACCTGTGCCCACCAAGGAGCAGCACGGAGCTGTGCCCGCCCAGGACCAGCGTGGCTGTGCCCCAGCCCATCGCTGAGAGCTGCAACGAGCTGTGCGCCCGCCAGTGCCCCGACTCCTCTGCCTTCATCCAGCCCCCGCCCGTGGTGGTCACCTTCCCCGGCCCCATCCTCAGCTCCTTCCCCCAGCAGGCCGTGGTGGGCTCCTCTGGAGCACCGGCCTTTGGCGGCTCCCTGGGGCTGGGCGGCCTCTACGGCGCCGGCGCCACCCAGGCCTCGGGGGGCCTCTGCACCTTTGGCAGAGCCTACGCTGCTCCCGCCTGCAGCCCTTGCGCCCTGCCCCGCTACAGCAAGAAGCTCTGGGACACCTGCGGGCCCTGCTAGAGCCACCAGCAACAGCCTCCAAGGCCCTGCTGCCGCCTCAGCCCAGCATGGACACCTTGAGCTCTGCACAAGCTGCCCTGGCCTCCTGCAGCCCGTGACACCCGGCCTGCCTCTGGCCTGCCCACCCTCCCTCTCCCTGCCTCTCCTGCCCTTCTTGCTGCAATAAAGTTTTCCTGCATCCAATCTCTGTCTCTTTGCCTCCTTTCCTGGAGTCATGGATATCCCTGGGGGAAG